ATTAATAATCTTGTTTAGGGTTAATTATGATTATAATTCAAGTGGTCGTCAATAATAGATTTATTTGTGTCATCAATATTCAACCAACATAGATAAACAGGTTTGGGGTTAACCTATTGATTGCATGTTAGTCAGAAAGCGCACATGAATACGATCAGAATAAAGTAGAGGCCTATTATTAGGGCAGGTTCAATCTCTTTTAGGTTGGATTTGTACCTTCATCTCCGAACTACCAGTCATGGTTCTAGAACTATTGGAGTTGACGATCTCTTGGATCGTTAAGGGGTGTAACCTTCACCCTGTGAACGGTTTACAAGTTCCTAAAACTTGTTGGCGACTCTTTTGCTCTATCTTCTTTCCCTTTGAACGCCACCGTACTTTAGTGTATAATCACAGTGGGGTTCAAGCTAGGGATAATGCTTGAAATATTTCCTACAGCACCCATTAAACTTGTGTTAAGTGATGATAATGATGGCAAAAAAATAATGAGAAGTTGTTTCGGTTCGAACAAGTTTGGAATGACCATGAGAGCTGTGAGGAGGTTTTGCGGCATGCTTGGCAGAGAAGTGGTGGGTCTGTAGATGGAAGAATCGAACACTATGCTATGAGCTTGAAGTCTTAGAGTGAGATTGAGTTTGGTAGGATTTTTAAGGAGATAAGAAAAAAGAGAAAGAAGTTGGAGATGTTGAATAGAGGTAGCCATAATGTTGAAAGGGTGAATGAGAGGAGGAGAGTTGTTCGAGAAATTACTGACCTGCTGCACATTGAAGAAAAATATTGGAGACAAAGACCGAGGTCTCTTTGGTTGGCCGAGGGAGACCGAAATACTAATTTCTTTCACAGAAAGGCTTCCCAGAGACGATCAAAGAATGCTATAAAGAGCCTCATGACTAATGACGGGGTAATGCACTATGGTGATGATGAGATGGCCGAATTTGCAGTGGATTATTTTAAAAATTTATTTTCCTCTTCCGAGCCGACTGATTTTTATGAAGCTTTGGTGGGGGTGGAGCGCAAAGTCACTGATGCTATGAACGACCAGCTTTGTGCACCTTTCACAGTGGATGAGGTTAGTATAGCCTTGAAACAAATGCATCCCTTAACGGCCCCGAGCCCGGATGATATGTGTCCACTATTTTTTCAAGCATACTGACACATTGTAGGTACAAACGTGATTAATTTTGTTATGGATATTTTGAATGGTGGGATTATTTCGAAAGATATTAATAAAACGTTCCTTGTTTTACTCCCTAAGAAGAAAGAGCCGGATGAAATGACATAATATAGACCAATTATTTTGTGTAATGCGGTGTATAAGCTTATTACAAAAGTTCTTGCTAATCGGCTTAAGCTTTTTCTGCATAGTATTATTTCGATAAATCAGACTACCTTTGACCCGAAAGATTGATCACGGTAACATTTTCGTTGCTTTTGAAATGTTTCATTATATGAAGAGCTCTATGAGTGACAGTGGTTCTTTGGCGCTTAAGTTGGATATGAAAAAGGCATATGATAGAGTGGAATGGGGTTTTCTGAGAGTAGTTATGTTGAAGTTTGGCTTTGTAGAGTTCTGGGTTGATCGGGTGATGCATTGTGTCTCTTCGGTCTCTTTTGTTGTTCTTATAAATGGTGCACCTTCGGGGGAGTTTATCCCTACGCGGGGTTTACGACAAGGTGATCCATTATCCCCATATTTTTTTATCTTATGTGCAGAGGCTCTTTCCGGATTACTGAATAAAAAGGTTGAGCATGGTGATTTGAGGGGTATTAAAGTGGCATCGTCGGCTCCTCCAATTTCTCATTTAATATTTGTAGATAACAGTATTTTTTCGAGAGCAAATGAAGAGGAGGTGAGTACACTTATACGTGCTCTCCATAATTATGAAGCGACCTCGGGTCAGTTGGTGAATTTAGATAAAAACGACAGTGTCCTTTAGAAAGGGGGTTTCGAAGGAGAGAAGGGTGGTGTTGGCCAATTTGCTTAGTGTTAACAATGTTGATACTCATGATAAGTATCTTGGCCTTCCAACGGTAATTGTGAGATCGAAACGGGTGCTTACGAAAGGAATTAGAGAGACATTGTGGAAGAAATTATAGGGTTGGGAGGGGGGAATATTATCAAAGGCGGGTCGAGAAGTTTTGAATAAGGCAGTGGCCTAATCTACTTCGACCTATGCGATGATTGTGTTTAGATTCTCGTCTTCTTTTTGTGATGAGTTGCGTTCACTTGTGTCGAATTTTTGGTAGGGTCAAAAGTAAGGTGAGAGGAAGATGCATTGGATTTCTTGGCGTAAAATGTGTGAGCCGAAAGCTGCTGGAGGGTTAGGCTTTCGAGATTTTAAAGCCTTCAATGCTACTCTTCTTGGGATGCAGGCGTGGCATATTATGAGTTGTCCTAATGGATCTGATTGCACATATTTTGAAAGCGAGGTATTTTGAGCATGGGAGCTACCTTGATGCGGAGCTGAGAAACAACCCAAGCTACACATGTGGATTGTGGGGGTGTTAAATGGGTTGTGCTAAGAAGAATCATTTGGAGGGTCGGGGATGGCTTGAACATCAAGGTGTGGGGGTCTCCTTGGATCCCTGGGACTCAATCAAGGCAAGTCATCTCTCCTATGCCTGCTGGTTATGGAGATATGCGTGTATGTGACTTAATTCATCTACCCACTGCTACGTGGAACATCGCTCTAATTAAAGAGCTTTTCCTCACTTTTGAATGGGAGCGCATATTGAGCATTCCCATTAGCTTTCGTTTTCCAGAGGATTCATGGTGTTGGGATTTAAAGAAAAGTGGGAATTATTCTATAAAGTCTGCATATCACAAAATTTTTGGGGAGATGGATTCTGAAAGTGTAGCATCAACATCAAGGCCATCGAATTTCTGGAATAGAATCTGGTCTGCTAATACCTTTCCTAGAGTTAAATTATTTTTCTAGCGTGCAAGCAGAGGGGCCCTTCCTACATGTTTGGGTCTTAGAAAACGCTTACTCAATTGGTCTAGTATATGCAGTGTGTGTGGGATAGAGGAAGAATCAGAGCTGCATTGTCTATGGAGTTGTATAATTGCTAGATTGATTTGGGCAGAGTGTGAGCTATTTGATGATTGTAGGGGTTGTTATCGAGATTTTAGGGACATGGCTGCTTAATGTCTGGAGCGTCTTCTAAAATCTGATCATGGTTTGTTCATGACAGCCTTTTAGGTGGTGTGAACTGCTCAAAAGAAGTGGATTTTTTAGGTTAAGGTGTGTGACCCTCTCAAATCTACTGTTTATGTTAGGAAGCTAATGGGGGAGCTGAAAAAGGAGGATGCTGCTTTTGTACTTAAGGGAAGTGAGGGAAGTAAACGCTAGAAGCCACCTCCTAGGGGACATTATAAACTGAACATTGATGTTATGCTGAAGGAAGGGCAGGGAGCAATGGCTGGGGCTATAGTGCATGATGATGTAGGCTGTGTGAAACTGGCAGCAGCTTGGTGGGCCGAGGACTATTGGGAAGCAAGCATGGCAGAGGCTAAGGCAATGTTGTGGGGGCTTCAAGCAGTGGTAGAATTTGGCTTCCGAAATGTAATTGTGGAGAGTGATTGTCTTGGATTACTGAACGCAATTAAGTCACATGAGAAGGGGAGTTGTAGTTTCCACTTTATTCTCGATGATATTTATCATGTAAGCGGTTCTTTAGATAGTGTGTCTTGGGGTTTTATTCGTAGGGAAGGGAATAGAGTAGCACATGAGCTTGCTCATTGCTTGCCTAGTGTGCCGAGTAGGAGTATTTGGGTCGATGATTTTCCTTCTTGTATTGCTTTGGTCTTGTGCCATGATCTTTCATTGAATGAAAACTAGCTGATTCATCAATTTCAACAAAAAAAATAAAAATTCAAGCAGTTCAATTTACAGCATGAATATAATTATTCCACATGCAATATATTTTACACTAATTGATGATGATCCGTTATTTCTGAAAAAAAATATCCAAAATATAAAAACCCAAAAAAATTGAATCAATAATAATGACGAAGAACCCTAAATATTGAAATTCAAGTGTATAAAGAAAAAAAAGATAAACAAATTTGATGAAAAAAATCAAAAACAAACCAAATTCATCAACCAAAAAATTAATAGATTGACACAGTTTAAGACACTAAAGATGGACAAAGGTTGATAAATTCAAAGGAAATTGAAAGAAACAGAGAAAGGAAAAGCCTCCATGCCTAAATTCCTTACTCCTTGAATCTAGGGAATAGTTAGGGTTTGATGAAAAATGATGGAGATAGAGGAAGGAGATACGAGCGTTATTCTTGATAGGCTTTAATTTTTAAAAACAAAACCTATAAAACTGCTTTTAGGAGTTTTAGGTTTATTGTTTCATTTTATCTTAAATAGTTGTAAAGTTGTTTTTTTAAAGCTATTTTACCAAACACTATTTTGCTTTATTTTGGAGGAAAAAAAACCAAAAACAACGATGCCAAAAACCCCCTTAATTATTTGTTTTTGTTTAGATTTTTTTTTTTTGGGTGTGTGTGCTTGCGCGCTAGGGTTTATAAAAAAAGGTAATCATCTTTTGCCCTATTAACAATTCGTTGGTAAAAGAGTTGTTTAGGATCGCAAAGGTTGTCAAATCTTCATATGCGTTCAAGTGAATCAGATGAAAATCATCCTTACAGCTACAATAAATCGTTAGATCGTATTTCCAAAAAGGCTGTGTATTCCAACAATGTGTGAGAATGAAGTACAACAATGCAAGATCTATTCAACCATCGCAATTTTGACAAAAGAAACCCTAATTTGATTCAATTTTATGTATTTATTTATTCAGATTTCAATTGTAGATGTCGTGCGACCTTTGATTAATGAATTGTTTTGTTTCCAAAAAAAAAAATTAAAACAGTTTTTTTTTTTTTTTTTAATTTTGAAAAACAATCAGCAATTAACTACCCACTAAAATAATCAATTATTCATGCTAAATGGTAAGAAAAATACTATTACTGTAGGGAAAAAAAATGAAACACAAACAAGATGGTATTTTATTAAGGTTAATGAGTGACCAAATTACATTCCACAAAATTACTTTGGACACAGATACAGAACTTTGAAGGACAGAGCACAAACATCAAGAACCTTTTACATTGCCTACAAAACTCAAATCATACAAACTGCAGCTATAGAGATCCTTGATACTGTCCTTCCAATAATTAAAAAAATAAGTCTTCAAAAATACTATATAGATAATCATACATTACTACCTGACAGAGACAGATGTAAGTCTCATCGAATCAGTCTCGACTCAAGCCAGTACAATGATTAACTTCTGCAACATCGAAGACTTTAGAGTGGTGTTAAATCTCCCAAAAAGAAGGCCAAAACAGCTAATACTTGGAGAATTCTTAAGGCTTAGCCTAAACACAAGCCACCGTGATAAAATCTCCATCCACTAACTGAAGAAACCTGGAACATTTATGGCTTATTTGCAAGGTTTTGTTCTGCAGTTTTTAGCATTTACCTTCAACTTTGCTTTCTTTGTTGCAACTTCTTGGAAAACATTAGGTCCCCCAAAAGTATTCTTTACCAACTTTACCTTTTTTCTTTTACCACGGTCATATTCCTCATCCCTGAAAAAAAATATCAGGCGAAAGGTTAAGCCAAAATGAAATGCAAATACCACTGACAAGTGAACATTCGAAGCTGCACATTAGGCAATTATGTCCATCACACTGGCTCCTCAGCCATAAGGGCACTCACAGAGATAAGAGTTTCAATCCAGAATATCATAAGGATCATTCATAAGAGTTAAAAGCAAATAGACCAGGAAGTCTTAGCTTACAAGTCTGTCTTATGTGTAATACATGATTATTTATAAAAATGAAAGATCTAGCACCAAAATAAAGATGGACTCACCACTCATCCAGTACATGACCAATAATTAAAGTGTTTTGGCCATTTGATTTTACTCTTTCCAAAGGAGGCTCCACACCTTCCCAGCATCCAACTGAAACCAAAATCCATGAACAATACCATTAACATCATAATACAAGTTTCAGAGCAATATGTGACTCCTAAACAAGGAACAACATAGTCTGCGCACCAGCAATTGTGAGATGAGTGCAAGGGGGAAAAGAAAATAAACAATCTTTGACACTAGAGTGAAAGGTGGCTAACCTGCAACTCGCAAAATGGACACAAAATGATTTTGACCATACAAATTCACAGTAGCAAGAAAACCTAGGCTAAGGATTGAGTAAAATCCTAGGCCGCAGAAATTACTCACCATGAGACTCCTCCAGTCCAGTGCTGGCACTAGGTACATTAACAGGTTGATGACTTTGTTCTTTGGAACACGAATCATTAACATCCTTGCAATGTGCCCCTGAATTTTTTACTTCTCTAACACATGGACTGTCACCTTTCTTGTGGCAACCTTTAGAATTACCCACAGAACCAGAGTCAGAAGTTGAAGGACCCATGTCTACAGAGGCAAAATCCTCAGTAGGCAAGAGATCTTGCGGAACAATTTTAATGTTTTTCTTCATCCTTTTGAATCTTCTGCTCTTTCTCACGGCCAAAGAAGCCCTATACATCACCTTGGTACTAAAATGCATCCCTCCAATACTTGACTTCAATATATCCTTCATTGAACTTTGGCGAGGTGCACTTTCAGGAGATTTCACAGAAGGACCATTCATTCTTGGCCTCTTAATTCTTGGTTTGCTTAATACTGAATGGATGTCAGACGTGGGCTCTGAAGCTTCATTCTTTAAAACAACCAGTTATAGAAAACGTCAATATTGCTACCTTGAGAATGACATTTTGTGTGTTGGGATGGGGGGAATTATTTGAACAATAAGAAGGTACCTTGGTCTTCCTAGTTCCATCTTCCGTGGTTAGTTGAATGGCAGAGTCTGATGGGACATTTGGCTTAACCTCGTTTACATTACTGGACTGAGTGTTCTGAACCTTCGTGCCTGCAGGAGTACCGATCTGATAGCACAAAAGGATTCATACACTTCAATGACAAAACAATTAAAAAAAATAAAATGCAAGATGTGAGTTAAAGATTAAATTTACCTCATGCGATTCCTTGTTGCATAAAACATTAACAGCATTAGAAGGGCAATTTAAAATTGATGGCTTTTCAATTGATGCTAATTCCTTCTCCTTGTTATCACAGCAGTCAACAGAAGTTGTAGCTTTGGCACTTTTTTTCGAATCACCACTACTAGATTTGGTTGCTGGGTTCACCATTCCATCCAAATCCATGTTAGCAATTGATGAATTTTCTTTATTTGTAACAGAGGACACTGTTGACATTGTTAGGTTGTTTTTGTGATTCAACTCTTTCACCTCTGCAACGGCAATAGATGAGACACATTTGGATGAATTCTGTTGAGCCGGAACCTTAGAAGCGTTGTGCCCTACAGAATGATTCACAATCAGACCAGATGAGCTAGTTTCCTTAGAGTTCTTGTCAGTATAACCATTTTGATAGCTCTTGACAACAGGGATTGAGCATGAACTTGTTGCATTTCGCATAGTTGTGATCAAATTTTCTGTGCGGACATCCATGGCCTTCTTAGAGCCAAATAAGTTTTCTTTGTGAACAACATCTAGGGCTTTCTTAGGAGCAGGGTTTTTCCTATCACGAACATAGAATAACATATATGCTTTCTGCTCCATAACAGTCTTTTCACTTACTTGGTAAACCTGAATTTTGTAACCATAAAAAAATTGAGAAGTGATCCAGGATACAACAAATTATCACACATTTAGCAAGTATTGCATTACTGATTTAATCAATGGAAAGAAAAAATATAGCACATATGAAAACCTAAGATGAATTCTATATCCAAGTAAAACAGCATAATGCAGTCCTCATAGAGCTGATTCTGCATCCAAGTTAAGACCTTGGTGCAAGGTGCAGTTACAAGTTACCAAAGTCCACATATGATATATGACCCTTAACAAAAACAAATGTAGCTATGTTTTACTTCAGACCTACTAACACATCCAAATGAAATAACTTCGACAACCTGGGAAGAGTATGCGGATTTACTGGAGCATATAAGCACAATAGTTTAAGAATGAATATGACCCACCCTGTTGTCATCAAGTGAGTACCATAATCCACTTGACGTGCGCACAAAGCTATAATAGTGACCAGAATGTGTGCTCCACCCAGCGTGAACTAGAACACCATAGAGTGTATAGGTCAAATCGCCCTCCTGAAAAGATAATACAAATAAACATCATTATCCAATGCTAAAATACAATAGTCAAATTATCACAAATTTAGTTTTTTTTTTCCTGGATTCAACAATAGCAGATACTACTCAACAAAAAGTCAAAGCCACTAACAGACTAGACATAGATAGAGAACAAAAGAAAAATCACAACAAAATCCAAGGTTACACATAGCAAAGGAACAGCACACCAATAAACAAAGCTGCTTCACCAACAAAAATTACAATAAGATGCAAGTTTACACATAGTAAAGAGAAAGCACAAAGAACCAAAAAAAAAAATCCAGCTTTACTTTAGATGAAATAAATTCCCCTTTTTCAATTAAGAGATGTTGCATACTTGCATGAAAAGGGAAGCAATTCCTAAGAAGTACCGCATTATTATTTTATTAACTTCTGCTTGAACGCCTTGATCCCATAAGTGGTGTCAGCTAAATGAAGCAATATGAAGACTTCCCAGGAGGTCACCCATCCTAGTACTACTCTAAATCATTGTGGGCCTTGTGGCTCATGTCAAGCAATGTGACAAAGTTTTACACTAGTTGTCACCGGCCTACGTAACCCTCATTATTACTTTATTAGAGAGAAAAAATATTTCTAATACTTAGAATTTATATATTAAAAAAAATAATGAATTCCCAAAACTGAATTACTACATACTCCAAACCCTATCTACAAATCAGCCAACTGACCACATCATTTAACCTGGACTAAAAACTCTAGAAGATTAAGAATTATATTCAAAGCCGCAGCCAATTACAACTAATAAATCTGTTTTATTTTTCTCAAGCACAATAAAGCACTAGCTTAAGGTCAACAGATTTAAGATATCAAAGAACATACATAGTTTCCACTGACGAAGGGTTTGAGATTCAATGACGAGCCAAAATGGACTTTCTTGTCAATCTTTTGCCCAGCAAAATGACGAAATCGCTTAAGATGGACAGTGAGAACATATGGAGCTTTATAAACTGTCAGCTGCTTGAGCGCCCTGACTTTCTGCTTACACTTTTCACATTTGTACTGTCTCTCTCCGCCATCCAATTGCTCAGCAGCAGTGAAGTGTAAGAGGGCCTTGTGAACAGAATCTGCCTTGATTATTTCAAGGCTCAAATCCAGGAATGGATCGAATGTATTCGAACAATGGGAACACTGTAAGCATTTAACCTGTATATACAAGTTAGCATTAGATTTAATTATACATAGGAATGGTTCGCAACCCACAGTAGACACCACACTATGGCCAGTAACTTTTCCTGACCTAACAAACATATTACGAATCTACCATCTCATGCCTCTTTTACCTGGCTACGTAAGCGACCCCCAAATATCTTGTGAACCAGACTCTTATCATAAGCACCAGGTGATTCAGCAGGCACGCCTGAAGGTAAGCAGCATTTGTGCATTGACTCTAGCAAATTTATCATGTACTCATGTGCATCCTCTTGTCTTGCATTTCGAAAACTTCGAGATATGCCTTATTGTGAGGTCAAGGAATAATCATAAATGAAGTATTGAGAAATGACAAGAGTTCAAAGGGGGGTGGAGGGGAAGACTTAGAGCAATAATACAGTAAATCAGCATGCAACGCAGTTGATGTATACTAAAAAAGTAATCCTTCCATGTAAAAAACCGACAAAACAAATTTCTATTAACCTAAATGGCTTTCAGTCTCAGAATATCCTGTTAAACACCTGATATTAACGTAAAATACACCTCACCCCCTCACCCCCCCCCCCCTCAAAAAAAAATTAAAAAAAAAAAAAAAGAAAAGAAAAACATGGTAGAAAAATTACATAAAAAAATTACTGTGCAAGAAGGAGATGTAGAAAGTGGCAGCAGAGAATACAACAACGTTAGAAGTGAAAACAAATCCACAATAAGTATAAACTACACTCAATCAGCTGCAAAACTTTAAAAGGATACACCTCAAGTTTGAAACAAGATCCTTCGGTGCTACTATTCTCCCAGTAGATTGTAGAGCACGGTTAACATGCTTTTGCATGGCACACAGCGCACAAAAACCAGCAACATGACCTTCACCAACAATATATTAGAATTAATAAGATAAACAGAATTTTACTATTATAAAACTGCAAAACAAGATGGTAATGTACTATACAAACAGAATCAAAGAAGCTTTTAAAATATTGTCGTAACCAGTACATTTATAGATTTGTTATTAACTTGAATAAAATACATATGTTAGCTTCCTGTCAAACATAGAACAGTAATCTAGCTAAGACCGGAGCACCTGGTCCATAGAAGCTATTCATTATGATTTCTGCAATAAGTTGCATTTCACCCTTTTTCTTTGAATTCTATTGTTTTTAATAAGATTTTGGTCTCTGTTAGTTAATCTTGCAATTCTAGTTGTGAATTGTTGATCTATTCTTGAGTATATTATGGCTTTGATGAAAATAGTTGCTGTACATAGGCATTTGTTTGAGTTAATTAACATTCTAGCTTCAATTGTGTTAAGCTTTAGATGATGTTACATGTTGAATTGAGTGATATGTCACTGCAACCATTGTTTGTTGAATTTCCACATTGATTTATTGAATTTATAATCTGAAATTTTGAGAAGAGTTGCTCAGATTTGTACGAGTAATGGTCTTATTTTTATTCTGAAATCTTTTTTTAAACACTTGTTTTAACCAACACAATTGCTAAATATCAATCTTCCTAGTGATGTCATAAGGTTTGAAGCATACTTTGTAATTGTACTTTGTATCAATTGAATGTCACATAAACTAGCTGTAACATGTACGCAAATATTTTTTCCTTTTGAGCTGGGCATTGGGCAATACCTTTTGTAGATTTAATTACTTTTTTCTCTGACGTGTCAGTGCTTCCTTGCTTTCAATATTCCGCATTACTCTCCAATTTCTTTTTATAGGGACATGTCCTTTTGCTTACTCACTATATTCTTTCTAAGAAGCATAGTTTATCTAGTTGCCCCTTCAGAATTTTGGATTAACTTTTTTGGTGTATTAGTGTATAGGGACTAGGAAGTATAGTATATACTTATTTCTACTCTGTACCCTTTGAATAATTTCAAAGATAAATTGTTAATAATTTTCAAAGGTAGAAAATGTGGAGAAATTAAATCATGGTCATTTATGTTATATAAAGTGTAAGTCTATTTTGGTTTGGAGTTATTGAGATCTATTTCCCTCATCTCATTACAATGAGTCTTATATAACTTTGTGAGAGGGTCTTGGACTGATCGGCTTATAATAGTATGTAAATTTTAAGTTTATTAGTCCTGTTGAATTCAATAGAATTAGTTGGTTATTCAGTTACAAGAGTCAATATATATTAGTAAACTGAGTCTTACTTGGTTCTCCGGTGGATCCATGATAAAGTTCGCTAGTTTGGTGTTGGTCATGCTACTTACAACTAAAACCATGATAGCTTAGCTTCTACTTAATCAGAGTTTTTATTGGTTTAAGGGGTTGGCCTATCTACATCTAATTTACGGGATTCTAAATGGGTCAATCTTGTTGTTGATAAATTTTTAGATCTTTATTAGATATGTGCTGAATAATTCTAGAAGTAAAATTACATATGTTCTTGTCTAATTTATCACTTTTTTTATTTAACTTGGATTTTCGTGTCAACACATCGACGGGTATGAAATATTTACCTTTCACTTTCATTTCATCCAGACTCAAAGATCTTGATTAACAAATTCGTAGAAAAAAACTAAAATATCCAAGGAAAGCAAGCAGAAAGAAAGCCAGCTGATATGTACTAAACAATGAGCTGGAGATAAGAATTTTAATCTGAACTAGGAAATTAGTATGCCTAAAACATGTGCATTTGTAATGTGGATTGACATGGAGAACTAATTTAGAATGAATCAGGAATGTGTTTCCTTAATGTTGTTTCATTAATGTGATTAGACTAAAATTCGAAATAAACTAATAAGTTCAACTATGAAATTCATGGTCTGCAATGAGTGCAATCTCAGTGAGCATTTGTCATCGTTTACTTTGGTTCATTTTATCTATTTTCCATTTAAGTCCTTTTACATGATTGCCTAAATTATTTAATTTGAATTAGAATTACGTAGCTAATATGATTCTAGGATCATATAACACTTGATTGCTTTTGTCTAACATCACACAGCAACATCAACCAATCAATTAAGCTAGAACTTTTGTCAATTAATGACTAAAAATAATGATTGAAAACAACGCAATTTGTCAATTAAGCTAGAACTTTTGTCTAACATCACACGGCAACGTCAACTGAGAAGCCTTGTTAAAAATTCAAACAAATAATTTGGGGCATCACTTCACAAGATGGAAAATGTTGAAACATAGAATTTCGGTTCCTATACACAATTCAGGCAAAATTGACCATAATTCATTCTAAAATCAACAACTAAACTAGTACAATATGCAGTGCATTCTATATTAATCGATAACCTTACGAAACGAGGGGCCGTAAAGAGGAAGAGACAGGAAGAAACTCACAATTATTCTGATGCTTGCCGCTTTGCAAATACGCCACTAACGGCTCTGTGTAAGTGAGGCATTGTATAACAGAATTAAGAAAACATGTATTCCCCAGATTTTCCAAACCAGCTCCCTGCCATTTTCAATACCACAATTAATAAAAAAAAAATAAAAAAAAAAATCGACCAATTACCCGCAATTCTATAATCAAAATAATTAGCATTTCAGAAACATATAAATTAAACCATCATCACAAATTGACAAAATCACAGTATGAACTATATGAGAAACAAAACAGGTCCAATAATGATAAAACTCCCAGAAACACAAATTAAGAAATACCCAGAAATCATACAATTGCAAAAACACAAAACAAAGGAAAATCAAATAAGAATGACTTACAATCCGGTGAAAAGGGATTCGGAAAGCGAAATCAAGATCAAAAGAGGCATCAATAAAATCAGAAGATTCTGGGTTTTTCGAATTTGATTTAGAATTAGAAGACGAAAGGGGTTGAGATAGAGAATGAGATTTAGAAGAGGAGATAGAAGGGGAAGAAGGGTTTAAAGTTTCAAGCTTGAAATTGGAAGAATTGTGATTAGAGAAGGAAGAAGAGATGGGTTTTCTAGCTAAGTGGAATTCAATGCGACGTTGTTGTTGTTGATGTTGTTGCTGCTGTAAGGAAGGAGCAGCAGACTCCATTGTTGATAGAGAAGGAAGAAGAAGAAGGCGGCTGTGAATGGTGTGATTGGCGATGGAGAAGAGAGAGAGAGAGGGGAAGGTAGTAGGGTTTAAGCGCTGATTAGAGAGCTTTCCTTTTGTCAGTACAGGGGTAGTATAGTCTTTTCACTGGGTTCATTTGGTTTTATTAGAGGTCGTTTGGTTGGTATTGGGTAAAGGGAAAAAACGTTAAGAATGTTAATGATTTTGATTTCATTTTCAATTTTTAGATTAATTATAGGAAAAATAGAAACTAATAATTCCACCTTTATTTTTATTTTTTTTTGACAAGCAAACATGTGAGTATATTAATTAAACAAAGCCACCTTGTCGAAATCAACAAGGGGATAAACAGAAGCAGGGCAATCCTCCATCCAGAACCTTTCCTCACTAAGAGATAGAGAAAGATTAGCCATGGAGTGTGCCACTTTGTTACATAGTCTAGGACAAAAAGAAAAGCACACAAAATCAAAACTATAAGCAAAACTCAGAATGTCTGTTACAATTAGTTGAGTAGGAGAATTCTCATGCTTAGAACCATTGAGCAATTCAATCACTTGGAGGCAATCAGATGAGACCTCCAACTTCCTGAAACCTGCATCAAACACTGCTCTCATGCCGAAAAGGAGAGCTACAGCCTCGATTTCACTAATGATGCCAGTGCCATTGAGTGATTTACCCCATGTCATCATCACATCACCAATGTTGTCCCTGACCACCATACCCAAACCACCCCTTCTGTCTTTCGAAATCGAAGCGTCTGTGTTAAGTTTATACCTGCTAGATGTCGGGGGGATCCAGAGACCTGTAACCTCGCTGCTTCTCTCGATTGAGGTCGTGGGCTCCCTTAAGTTCGCAGCCACATATTCGTCAAAAAAATTCAGAGTTTTTGAGCAGGCAATTAATGGATCAACTCTCACCTGCTCAAATAACCATTTGTTCCTCATTTCCCATATCTTCCAGATGAACATAAGGAAAAGCTCCCAACTGTCTTTAAGTTTGCAGATTTTTACCACAAAGGTGCACCACTCGAAAAAATTGTACATACTCCACTGTGCAACATTAAGTCTAAGAGGAGAGATACGCCACATTATTTGAGTGTCAGGACAGGAGACTAACATGTGCATAACAGACTTTGTGTCTTCACCACATCGAGGGCATAATTTGTCAATCTGCATAACTCTCCTAGCTAGAACCTCCCTCGTAGGGAGACCCCTCTAAGATTTAACCTTTTGCAGGACATCTGCCTCCCATAATTTCTTCCAGATAAAACTCTCATTCTCATGATGTGAGGACCCAATACTACCTTTGCTCCTGCTCAATTCAATGTGGTAAGCACTCCTGACACTAATAATCCCATTTTTGGTGTGCTTCCAGACGAGGAGATCCTCTTGCTCGTACTCCGGAATACAAATGTTACTTATAGCTTGTTTTTCCTGATCTGTGAGATTGTTTCCCAGCCTCCAGTATTTTGCACCCGCCTCATCAAAATCTATCCAATCTGCTACAAAAGGCTTTCCCAAATCCTCAGAGGTTGGATTTGAGACAAGTCTATAACCAGGAAGACCATTAATCCAGCAATCTTCCCAGAACTTTACTGTCCTGCCATTGCCAATCACCCATCTAGAGCCCTCCTTCATCAAATCTCTGGCGCCCAAATCGATCTCCAAGTGTAACTAGCATTTGGTGGAATTTTTGCTTGCCACAAAGAGGTATGAGGATAGTATTTTCCTTTTAGGACCCGTGTTGCCAGAGAGTTTGGATTCTTAACTAGTCTCCAGCATTGTTTTGCCAAGAGAGCTCTGTTAAAAGCTCGCATATCACGTAACCCAATACCCCCCTCCTTCTTTGATTTGCAAAGTTTGTCCCAACTGATCAGAGTTAACTTGCGTTCACTATTTTTCTGACCCCGCCAGAAATTCCGACACAACGAGTTAATATTGTCAATGACCGATTCTGGCAGCTTAAAGCATTGCATAGCATAAGTTGGAATTGCTTGGGCAACAGACTTAAGAAGCACCTCTCTTCCAGCTCTCGATAAATATCGCTCTTTCCAACCTTTCCCTTTTTCCACACCCAGTCTTAAATTGCTTAGAAAACAACTTTCTTTGATCTTTCTATGTAAGTAGAAAGCCCTAGATATTTCTCATGACCCTCCACCATCGTAAAGTTAAGCTTCAATTGAAGCATTTCCTGCATATTATGACTAACATTACGACTGAAGGATACCTTTGATTTTTCCAAGTTAATTTTCTGACCCGATGCAATTTCGTAGTTGGTGAGGATGTCAAGGATTGCATCCACTTCACTCATGTTGGCTCTTGTAAAGTGGAGGCTATCATCCATGAAAAAAACGTGAGAAATCGGATCAACATTCCTACCAAGCTTTACCCAATGGATAATACGATTAGCTTCAGAATCCCTTAGAAGAGCAGAGAACCCCTCGGCACATATGAGGAACAAAAAAGGGGAAAGAGGATCCCCTTGACGGAGTTCCCAACTAGGCACAAATTTTTCCGTTGGGAAACCATTGAACAAAATAGAGTATGATACCGACTTTATACACCTCATAACAAGTTCAACAAAATTCTGATTAAAACTGAGCTTCATCATCATCCCCTCAACAAAACCCCACTCCACCCTATCATACGCCTTACTCATGTCCAACTTCATAGCCATATAGCTTCGTTCACCTGTTTTTTTCTTATGGAGATAATGGAACATTTCATATGCGACAAGCACGTTATCCGTGATCAATCTCCCCGGAACAAATGCACTCTGGGTTTCACTAATGACAGATGGTAATACTAATTTGAGTCTATTCGTTATGGCCTTTGACACAAGCTTATACAAAACATAACATAAGCTAATAGGTCGATAATCTTTTGTAGACTCGCATTGCTTCTTCTTAGGGATAAGAACAATATTTGTATGATTAATTTGATCTATAGGGGCATTATTGTTCAAAATATCTAGAACGAAAGAAGTCACATCATCACCAGTAACATTCCAGAATTTTTTATAAAAGAGTGCAGGCATACCGTCTAGCCCCAGGGCCTTTGTGGGATGCATATGTTTTAGAGCTTTGACCACCTCCTCCCTTGTGAAAGGTGCTGCCAGCATTGTGTTCATCTCATCAGAAACTTTTGTTGTAACCTTGTCCAAGACTTGCTGCATATCATTGCCACCACTTGAGTGAAAAGGTTTTTAAAGAAATCCTCAAAAACCTCCTCTGCCTCCAGCTCATTACTTCTCCAATTTCCACTTTCATCAAAGACACCTTTAATGGTATTTCGTTGGCGTCTCTGCTTAGCTTTGTTATGAAAAAAAGTTGTATTTTTGTCGCCATCGCGGAGCCAATCTTGACGGCTTCTTTGAGCCCAAAAAGTTTCCTCCCTGCACTCTAACTCATCAATCTCACAATCAATATTTTTGATTTCTGCAAGATTATCACTAGACGGGTCTAGTTGCATTAACACTTTCATTCGATCCTCGATCTCTTGTTTAAAATCATTCGGCCTTTTTGCACTCCATGATCTCAGCCTGATAGCACACAGCATAATCTTCTCTCTTGCATTGTTTGAGTGATCTGTTTGCCATGAATCAGCCACAATGTTGCCACATTCGTCATCCCGAAGCCACTTTTTCTCAAACTTAAAGCTACGCCTTCTGTTCTTTTTCTTTTGACTTGGCTCAACTTTCTCTTTTATAATTATTTTAAGAGGAATGTGGTCAGATTTCCTCCTTGGGAAATGTTCAACTACAGAGCACGGGTATAAATGTAACCAGTCATCATTGGCAACAAAACGATCAAGGCGTTCCTGAATATTCTCCCCATCCGCCCTATTATTGTTCCACGTGAAGGGTGGGTCTGTAAAGGTAACATCCCCAAGCTGACATTTATCAAGAGCAGCTCGAAAGCCATCAATATCATTCTGATTTTTAGGGAGGCCACCCTTTTTTTCACTGTGAACAAGGGTACAATTAAAATCCCTGAAGCAGAGCCAAGGAGAAAAATTTGCGGCTCCAAGATTCTCAATAAGATTCCAAGCTTCCTATTTTCTCCCCTCCTCCGGGTAGCCGTAAATCCTTGTTAGTCTCCATTTTGTACCATCATCTAGTGAAAGAATAAAATCCATATGATTCCTTCAAGAAGAGATGAGAGAAAGATTCAGATTATTTCTCCATAACATAGCCAAACCTCCTCTCCTATGCCTTCTATCACCCTCACAATTGACGCATAGGAAGTTCTCAAAGTTCACCTTCCTCTTCACATTCTCCCACTCCTTACCTTTTAACTTTGTCTCCGAGAGGAAGACAAAGTGGGATGTTCTAACTGAATGACACCCTTGAGTGCATTCTCTGCCCGGGGGCTCCCCAACCCCTGGCAGTTCCACGACAGGCCTATCATTGTTGTTCACGGGGTTGCTTTGCAACCTCCGCTATTGGCACAGCTTCTTCACTCATGCTCTTTCTTTTAACTGACCGAGAGTCTACAGCTCCATCTCCACCATATTCTGCCGTAATTTTATCTAGCTCCCTTGCACTCGGGCGTTTCCCACAAATTCTTCCTGGGACACTTGCATCAAAATCAACATTTTTGTGAATAATCACTTTCTTCAGCTTTCTGCTTTGAGATGCTTCACTAGTACCCATGTGAGTAGAATTAATCTCAGGTTCCATCACTCCTTGACCATTGCTCGCAACACTAACCACATGTGACTCATTAATATTATGCTCAGACTCGTGTAACACTACCTCACCTTTCTTTTTCTCATTGTTCTCAGATTGGGGAGATATGAACATCTTCTAATTGCTTCAGAACACCTAACTTCCTCGACTGGTCCTTCTCACACCTTTTTATATCCCCCTTTTTTTATGAAAAACTTCTTAGCACATCTCTTTGTGTCATCATCTACTGTCCCCAGATCCCCCCTATTAACCTTCCATGGAGAAGCTCTGAGATTTTCATTGAAGAGTCTCTTAGGGAGATTAACATGGATGGCATCATCACAATCCTTCTCGCCATGTCCCAACTTACCACACACATAGCAAAACAACGGCAGTTTCTCATATTTTATTTCAAACCGCTCCTTTACTCCTCCTCTCATTCTAATACTAATCTCCTTTACTAAGGGTCTTCGGAGGTCCACCATTGTACAAATTCTTAGGGACTTGTTAATGCCTACAACATCAGATTTATCCATAGCCATATAGATCCCAAACTTATTCCCGATTAATTTCGCATTTGCTTCATTATTTCTTCCGGTGAAAGGAAGGTCGTACACCCTGATCCAGAAAGGTGTTAATTGTAATGGTTGTTCTGATGGCTTTGCTTCTCCGTCCACATCACATAGGACAAGAGTATGTCTGCCAAAATGCCATGGTCTTGCTTCCATGACAAACTCCTTGTCCTTCTAGTGGTGAAACTGAAAGAAAAAAGTGTTTTTACCTATGTAGTTCGCCTCCATTTCGTATTTGGGGTTCCAAATACGTTTCGTTGTAGAAATCAAAGCGTTCGAGTTGATGCTCCTTTCCGTCCATACCTTGCCCACGACCCCAAGGGCCACCTTCGACTTTTCATCATCTTCCCCATCGATATTCCATTCAACTACTTCCTCCTCCGTATCCTTCTCTTCCAACTCCTTGTTTCGCGGATTGTCACTCATGTTTCACACTGACCCTATAGGGGCAGGTGCAAAATACCCCAGGAAATTCAAGCAAAAACCTTTGAAAATCAAAGGAAAACAACCTAGCAAAGCACTAAAACGAAGCCCTCCCAAGAGAAATTCTAGAGGGAACTTTACTCGGTATTTCATAAACAATCCCATCTTACGATTATTCCAAAACAATCCCACCTTTGATAGGGATCTTCTTTTAACGATTCATTTTACCTTCAACCTGTTAAACAAGTTATAATTTTTTTTTATTATTATTTTTTTTAAGTTCACTCCCCTAGTCTCCTCCTACCTCTTCCCCTTCCATGGTTACGTTATCACCATAACCACCACCCCCTTGCACCTTAATTGTCACAGTGACACAACACTACCCTTGCTGCCACCCTCCATTACCACGCGGATTGACGATGCAATCCAACTCTAACCCTTGCCGCCCCAAAACCCCCTAAACACCCAATGCCTACCCCGAATCTCCATAATTTTCCATTCTCCCCAAATTA